AAACCCCTCTAGCATCTTTGCCAAGAAAACCCCAAATGGGGTCATGAAGAGTTGGACACGACAGAAAATAACCAGCTGAAAACAAAGACATACACATTGCGCGTGCGCGCGCACGCACACACTCACACACACACACACACACAGACATACTAATCCTGCGTATAGAGTGCTGCTCACATATTGACACTACTTACACAGTATTAAGAAGCTAACAATGCAAGGATGGAATACTGCCATATGACTAGACTGTCCATGTGTCATCGAAAAGTCATGGGCCTTTTGTGCAACATTGAAAAGCTCACTCAGCATTGAAGGGCTTCTACTCATAGAGCTTTCTATGTGCTAGCTCTCACATCTGGTGGTCCTTGGAGCCCAGTTGCTGATAAAGGTTTTTTCCTCCTTCATCCAGGTCTTTGGGGAGGCAGCATGGGACAATGCAAGAAGTCAAGGGACATGGATTCAAATCTTACCTCTGCAACTTGCTACGTGTGTGACCTTGGGCAAGTCACATTCCTAAGCCTCAGTTTCCACATCAGTGGGGGAAGGGGTGGGGTTGTATTAAATGGCCTCTAAGGTCTCTTCGAGCTCCAGATCTTTCATAACACTTAATAATACCCAAATGTTCAGCACCATTTCAACTTGGGGAAAGGAGAGGTCATGCTTGCTGGGTAGGTTGAGGGATGTCAACGTGACAGTTTGGTGCCATTAGGACCCGATTTTTGGGAGCAATGTTCATGCTCAGTTTGACTTCGGGAGGAGGAAAATGAATCTGGGGAAGGACTAAGGCAAGCTGCAAATGTTTAAAGGGTGACTACTAGATAAAAGTAGAATGCAAGCTAACAAAGTTGCCTTATTAAACTAGTTCCTTATTTTTGAAAGCCTGGGTATTTCTACCTACTAACCTTTTGGGTAGATCTCTGTGATCCAGGTTTACTGCAGTAACTATTAGCAGTAAAGTCTAACTCAGGAAATCTGTTCTTTAAAGAGTTCCCATTAAAGGGATTTTAATAGCATGCAAATTTTATTGCACTGAATTCTGAATTGCAAATAGACAAAAGGTTTGAAAGGAAAGTGTTTATGATGGCTGCCAGTGAGGATAAACAGCTGCCCACCTCTGCCAGCGCCTATGAAAATATGTTTTTAAGTTCTAAATGTGAGCTGTAATCCAGAGCTCCTTCACTTTTTAAAAATTCAATACTTAAACTGTGGGGAGAGTGGGGATCGGTGCCAGAGAAAACATTCTCATTTAATAATGTTTGAACATGGAGCTGTGATGCAGTTGGTAGCGAGGCACTGAGAAAAACCCACAACTAATCCTTCACTGCAGATGTCTGAACTCTTGACTGTCTGCCATGCTTTAAACAGCAACTTCTTTTTTCTAGGGACTCAAGGCTTGAATGACCCAGTGTGGAGAGTTGAAACTCCACACAAAAACATAAAAAAGGGGGAAAAAAATGAAGCCTCAGCTGAAGGTTTGGTAAATTGGACCGTGGGGCTCCAGCAAATTAGGGTTCATGCCGTACCCGCCTTGGCTTGCCCTTTCCAGCTCACAAGATATAGTGTGGAGTCTCATGGGAGCTCCACAGATGGAGAAGAGGGAGAGTTGAAGACTTAGACTTTATGGGTATTTTCAGTTCGGTTTGGTTTGATTTTTTTCTTTTACCTTGACTAGAATAAAACGATCAAATGAAAGAGATGTGGTTTTGCTATGCTACCCCAGTGTCACAAGTAACATTAACATTTATAGAGTACTTTTCTCACTAAGGGGGTCAATTCAATCACCATTTTTCACATTCAACTGAATTCCACAAAACATGGATTGGGTGATTGCTTTGGGTGAGACACTGTGCTAAAACCAGTTGGGTAGAAAAATGAAAACCCAATCCCAGGCATCAAGTAGCTTTTGACTTAAAAATATGACCTCACACATCTCCTTTCCATCTTATGCTTATGAAAAGTGGCAGAGCTAAGTGATTTGGCCTTTGTTATATGACAGGGAGGGGAACAGAGCCCAGATTTCCTAACACCTGGGGTCAGCGTTGTATTCATTTGTGCCAAGGTAAAAGTCATTTTTATTCTTCTAATTCTTCTTCCGGTTTTTGACTGCTCATGGAAACCTGATTCTATTGGAAACTGAGGTCTTTGAAATTAGACAAATACAAAATGTTGAAATATAACAGTACTTTTTTGATTTCTTATTTATTATGCCATTACTATAGTTTTTATTCTGATAATCTCTTTACTTAGTGGCTCAATGGCATTTATCACTTAACATGGCGGACTCAGTAGGATAGCTTCATACCATGGGTCTTGGGTTCTTATTGAAAGGAAAGAGCCTATCAAAAAAAAATAGGCCAGGCAAAGGCTCCTCTTGCAAAAATGAAGAAATCCTAGGTCCTCCAGAAAAGTTAAGTCATTTTTCAGTTGTGTTCAACTCTTTGTGATCCCATCTGGGGTTTTCTTGGCAGAGATACTGGAGTGGTTTGCCATTTGCTTCTCCAGCTCATTTTACAGATGAGGAAATTAAGGCAAACAGGGTTAAGTGACTTGCCCAGGGTCACGCAGCTAGGTAAGTGTGAGGCCAGATTTGAACTCAAGAAGATGAGTCTTCCTGACTCTAAGCCCAACACTCTATCCACTGCACAATTAGCTGCCAGACTCTCTAGATGGGTATATCAAACTACAGAAAGGCTCTCCCATAGAGAAGGTAACTTTGGGAAAATTTCAGTTCAACTCAGTAAATATTTATCAACTATCTATTATTTTCTTTGCTCCAATCTAACTGGATATACCTAAATATTGACATCTTACACTAGTATCTTTATATATTAGTTCTTTACCAGATTTGAAAACATGAGTGTGAACTCTGGCTCTTCTACTTGATGTGTGATTTGGGGTAATTTCCTTGACCTCGCAGAACCTCAGTTTCTTCATCTGTAAAATGGGATTGATGATAGTTATGTTATTAAAACTCGGTTGCTGGGAGAATCAAACGAGATAATGTATGTAGAGACCTTTAAAAACTTTAACACACCATAAAAAATGTGAGCTATTATTATCATTGTCTGACACAGGAATTGAAACTGTATTTAGTTCTGACTGCAATTCCTAGACTGAGAGATGTCTACAAGTTTCACTGGTAGGCCTAAGGCAGACACAAGGAGAAAGAAGGGAGAAGAAAAAAAGGAAAGAGTGGAAGAAGGGAACAGAGGAGGGAGACAAAATGGAGAGAGAGGGAGGGAAAAAAGGGAAAGAAAAAGGTGCCTGTTGTGGGGCATGGTGCAGTGCCGTCAGTAATTGTCTACAATGCCATTTTATCACAACAGGTTCAAAGGTCTAACAGGTAGAATCCTTCCATGACAAAGAAGTATTGATCAATTTCATGTTGGTTTACTGTCTTGAATGAGCCTTGACCTATTAGTTAGGTCCAAGTTTTGGCTTGAGGAATTTATATATTGGTAAATCTAAACTTCTTTGTGATAAGAGTCTTCAAATGTTAAAAGTTGGCCAAAAAAATCCAGTCCTCAATACAATCATCTTTCGGGCAACCTGTCACCCCTGTATTTGTTGTTTCAAGAAAGAGGAGTATGCAAAGAGTCATTTAAGTGTTCAGCTGTGTACAGATAACCTACTGCCAATCCTTTCTGAGTAAATTCAGCATTAATTGATCTTAAGAACATCTCTTGTTTATCAAGGCTTAATATGATTGTTGAAGTCCAGCAATGGACCATTAATGGCACCATTTTTTTAAACCATCTTTTTTTTTCTTTGTTTTGGGTCTCCGAAGCTTTGTACTAATAAACAGTTGTAATTTGTCATGTTCCCTGAACTTTCTTGAGTCCCTCATCCTTATGAAACTTTAAGCCATTTGTATTTTCTTTTACGTAAAGCAATTTTATGTAAAAATGAATGAATTTTAATTAATGAATTAAATTAATTCATTAATTAATGAAAATTAAAATAAAAATTTTATGTAAAAATGAAAAAAAAAGAATATATTCATTTCCCAGGACTGAAGATTTTAGTCATTCCCATCCCTCATGCACCTGTGGATTTCAAACATTAATGGAGATAAGCCAAATCAAATAAAAGCTTAAATACCAATGGTTTTGTATTTATTTTGCAGTATATTTCCACACAGCTGACACATAGTACGTACTTTTCAGTTACGTGTTCACATTACTCTTTAAATGGGTTAGTGTAAATTCAGTATTTTCAGCTACTGCTTAAAAATAGTTTACAATGGCAATTCTAATGTTGAGACAGAGGTTATTTTGCATTCTAGAATGCATCGAAAGCATAAAGGTTACCTTGAAGTATATTAGGGGGAAACTATTTACAAATTTGTACAGTTTCCAGTTTTTATTATTTTGTTCTGTTTTTGCTTTGGCTATACCCATCTAGTAATACTAGACTTCATTCCCATTGTTCCAAATTTGTTCTCATTTACAGTTTTCCAGCTGGGCTCTAGACCTCTTAGGTTTATCTACTGATGGGGGCTAAATAGGTTCCTTGGAAGGTAGATCTATTAGATCAGGGTGGGGAACCTGTGGCCTCGAGGTTACATGTGACCCTGTAGGTCCTCAAGTGCAGACCTTTGACTGAATCCAAGCTTCACAGAACAAATGCTCTTAATAAAAGGATTTGTTCTGTAAAATTGGGACTCAGTCAAAATGCCGCACCCAAGGATCTAGAAGACCACGTGTGGCCTCAAGGCTGCACTAGATTGCACTAGTAATTTATCTGATCAGCTCTCTGACCTATTGTTCTTTTTACAAAGACTGCACCCAAAAAAGGTGACCTAGGAAAAGAGTAGGCAAGTTTCTAAAGTCTCTTTTAAAAAATGTTTTCAGTAAAACACTAATGGTTGATTTTGTAGCTCCATAAAGGAGCCCAGTTAGTCCAGGTGCCGTAGGAAATCTTGAGTCCTTTATGCTCACTCTCCCCACCCCACCCCCAACCATTTCTTATTGAAAGTTATTTCTAATTAGGTTATTCATGTTGGAAGAGGTTGATGGGTATACTGGTCACAATGTCAACAATCTGTCGTAAAGGACAAACATGGCTCTTAGGGCAGCTCCCCCATGCTGCCACTAATGCACGTGCTGGTTTCTTGTCAAGTAAAACAAGTAAGGTTTTAGAATGAAAGGAGAAAATGTCTTTTATGTACATCCACTTCATCATCTGATCTCCTCCACGTCTACATTTGGATTCATTTCTTTTCCAGTAATATTCAGCTTCTCAAAAGATGCCCAGTTCCAGAATGGGCTGCAGAACAAAGTCAGACCAAAGTGCCTGGTTGGGTGGAGCTCCCAATTGTGGCCATTTCAAAATCCTCATCCTCTCTATTATCAAGGAAGTAGTCACACTGGTTACCCTATTTCCATCCCCCCCTTTACATTTCCCCTGCCCTTTGTCATAAGTCTCTCTCCCAGCTTCAGAGGAAGGAAGTGCTACTGTGGCGAGAAAGGCCAATGACTGGTTTCTACCATCCTTTTCAAAAAGATCGAGATGGCACCAGTCACTCATGGCCAAGAGCGACCAGGCCACTGCTCTGCAAAGGAGGCTGAGTGGATTGGCTTAGAGCTGACGTTGCTCAACGAAGAACAGAGTGAAGTCTTTGTCTCGGGGCAGGAAGGGCACTCTCCTCCACATTCACACCCACCAAAAGTCTCTAAAAACCCTTTGCTTCGCAATTTTTGATCTACCACCCCAAAGCCAAAGGCTCCAAATTGAGCTAATTTATTCTCCTTGGGCAACATCACAAAATAATAAGGCAACAGCATGATGTATCTTCCCAGTCCCATGCTTGGCAATAAAACATCCAGATAGATAACACAGGCCTCAGAATTCCAGTTCCTTGATGTCATTTATCTCATCAGTTTGAAGGATGGGGCCAATTATTTTTTCTTTTCTTTTTTCAGGAAAAGCAGCATGATCAACCCAAACAGGGATGTTTTCCTTCGAGTTGGGAAGGAGTGCAATAACACAGGCTTTTGCTTGGTGAAGGAAGACATGGGAAAGATAACAAGAGCATCGCCAGCCAGGGTGCGCTTTCTTCTTTGCATACGCAGAAGACAATGGAGAAGTAGAAAACAGAGCATCTTAAGTTTTGTTATTTCACTGTGGAGTCCCTCCAGGGTCTTTAAAATGAACATCAAAATGTCTGTTTGGTTAGGTGTTCGGAAAAGAAGACAGTCTTCTTCTGGATGAGTCAGTCACTCCCCCCACCCCAGCCAAGTCACCCCCTCCAAAACTGTCCCAGTTCACCAGTTGGGTGTGATGGTCCTTTTCACCAGCTTCTGAAGGGGCAAGCGCATTGGTGCCAGTTAGACCTTCTGCATCTCAATCTGCTGGTGATAATGCCGCGTCTGACCTTTGCCGTTCAGCTTATACACAGAACTCTTCTGCTGTCGCCTTCTGTAGCACCACACGGCGCTGATAACCACCAGGAGCAGCAACAGACACAGGACGATCACTATGACGGCAATCACGGGGCCTTTACTGATGTTTGAGCAATCCTCCCCCACACATGACTCAGCGGTTGGAAGAGGCTCTTCTTTTATGCTTGAGGTAGGAAGCTCCTGCTCCATGAGTCTCTCAGAGGGTGAATCTGGGAAACTACTATGGGTGCTGAGCATGGTGGTCTGGGTAGGAGGAAGAGTGGTGGCATCTCTCTCAGCATCTCTGGGTGATGGGATATGGTCAAGGGGCTGGGGATCTGCCATCGTCATTGTCCCTGGGGTTGAGTTGGTAAGGTCGTAGAGCAAGGTGGACCCTGGAGATTCATCGGTTGCAAATCCCCAAGGCACAGTGGACTGATATGTGGCCATGTCACTCACTCCTTTGCTGGGACTCACATTCTCAGGGGCAGTAGTAGGTGTGAAGGTCACTGGTCCATAGTCCGATGTTCTCAGCAGAGTGACAGTCAACTGAGTTATATCTTCACCTAGAGTGAACATGGTACTGCTGGATTTTTTAACTTCAACATGGTTGGGCTGGTCAGTCATAACCAGAATACTTTCATCCATACCTACTGAGCCATCCCCCTTGTCCCCTTCATCATCTTCTTCTTCCTCCCTTGTGCCATCAGTTACAGGGTAACCATCTAACCAGGACTCATCACTGCTGCTCGTAATGTGGTCCCCCACCTTGCTGTCATTCCTGCCAAGGGTTGGTCCAATGGGGAAATCAGCACTGTCATAGATCATTTTGGCATCTGGCTCCTGGAGTCTTGATTTCACTCCAATATGGTTATCTCCATCGGAAAAACGCCTTTGGCCATTCTCCTCTATCATCTCTTTCTCCAACTCAGGCTCACCCTCAGCTGGGAACCAAAATAAATGTTTCTGGCTCAGCAAGGAGACCGGAGATTCTGTAGGAACTCTGCCTTCTCCTCCAGGCAGGCCCCTCGTCTTTATGTCTTTGTTGCCAGTCACACTTTCTCTCCCTAGAGAAACAGAGATGGAATAACCCTGCTTTAGTTTGTCAGAAGCTTCCTCCTGGCCCCCAACCTCCTTCTCTTCCTCCTTAATCTTATCCTTCTTATGATCTGTGAGTGGCACTGATCTGTCATCGGGGAAATTCTCTTCATAGTCAATATGTGTCTCAGCTTCACCTAGAAAAAAAAAAAAGGAGAGGGTAGTAAGTTGCATTAGACAGCAGAGCACAGGTACTATACCTACCCCCATTAGATTGTGAGCTCCTTGAGGGCAAGGACTGCATTTTACCTCTTTTTGTATCTCCAGTGCTTAGCTCAGTGCCTGGCACACAGTAGGTACTTAATAAATGCTCATTAATTGATTTATCTGTCAGGGGCATTACCAAAGTGAGCCAGGTTTGTAGCATGCTACCTTGTTAAAAATCATAGGCAGTGCTTTTACTGTAATGGGGATTTGATGTCATGGAGTTGAACGTTAGTTCCTTGAGGGTAAGGAGTGTTTTGTTTTTATCTTTATAATGTCAGCACCCAGCACCATATCTTGTCCATAGTGTGTTACCGAATTGAAGTAAACTGCATTGTGGGGCTAGAATCTGCAAGAAGATTCTGTGATGACTCAGAAGTGAAAACTCCGGATGTTTGGACCGATGGTGGTACCTACCACAGAATTACGAAAAAGAAGAGTAGTTTCTTTTGGTTACATCTAAGGTTGGGCAGAGAAAATGTGCCTGCAGTGGCTGCCGCCTTCTCATCTTGCATTTTAGCAGGTGAGAAATTTGTGTCATGTTGAAACTAGGATGATACCTGAATACACAAATGCTTTGTGAAATCTCTCTTTAGAATTTAAAGTCTTTGATGGTGGGGACTGCATTTTTCTCCATTTTTCTATAACTGTGTCTTGGATATATTTGATGCTTAAAAAAAAGACTGTTGAATCAAATTGAATTGAAACTCACTGAGTTGTACCCAAAGATTCAATGAGCTTTGCTGTTTAACTATGAAATCAAATCCAGTAAGTTTTACTTGGTTCCTGTTCTCATTCATTCATTCATTTGACAATTTTTTGGAAGACTCTAATATGTGCTAGGCATTGGGAGAAATATGAAATTTAGGTTATGATAAGATCTCAACCTGCTTGGAATAGCTTCCAGTGAGGGAGGGAAGAGAGAGGGAAAAGACAAAATGTAATGGTGAATAAATGCAATATCAGGTATTTTTGGGGGGGCAATTGGGGTTAAGTGACTTGCCCAGGGTCACAGAGCTAGCAAGTGTCAAGTGTTTGGTCTGAGGCCAAATTTGAACTCAGGTCCTCCTAACTTCAGGGCCGGTACTCTATCCACTGTGTCACCTAGCTGCCCCAATATTATGTATTATGTATATATTATGTATTAAGTACATTACACGTATAAGTTATGATTCAAGTGTTCCATGAGGTTAAGGGGGAAAAGCTGTTATCAGCTGAAGGGCTCAGTGGAAGCTTCATGGAGGTGGTGACCTTTGGCTTGGAATTGACAAAGCATTCAGGCATCTTCCTAGTTTTAGCAGCACACAAATTTCTCATTTGCTGAGATGTAAAACCCAATACACAAGAGGATGGCAGCCACTGCAAACATAGTGTTTCTGCCCAGCCTCAAATATAACCAACAGAGATATTGGCTGCCTTTGCCTAAACATCCTATGAATCAAGGCTTCTCTCTGTTTAGGCAAATTTCTGAGGTTTGGGGGTTTGAAACAAACAAAAACAAAAATCCAAACAAATTCGGAATCTCTTTGAGAACAATCTTGCCCTTATCTCACTCACCCTCCCCCCCACTCCTCATCCTTTTTTGTTGTCCAGACATTTTTCAGTCGTGTCTGACTCTTTGTGACCCCGTTTGGGGTTTTCTTGGCAAAAATACTAGAGTAGTTTGCCATTTCCTGCTCCAGCTTATTTTACAGATGAGGAAACAGAGGCAAACAGGGTGATGTGACTTGCCCAGGGTCACACAGCTAGTAAGTGTCTAAAGCCAAATTTGAACTCAGGAAGATGAGTCTTCCTGACTCCAGGCCTGGCATTCTATCCACTGTGCCATCAAGCTGTCCCATTCCTCATCCTCAGAGGGGATTTCCCCATGGAAAGATGCAAGGATAGGTCCTGGCTGCCCATTGTAACCTCTTGCCTCTCCCGGGGATTGGAGGGCAAACAGCCAGTTCTTCCCACTGGCTGTAAAGTAAGCTGAAAAGTTATATCTGGAGTTTCCAGCAGACATGTTGCCTGCTCCTGGCTTGAGTCTCATTCATTGCAGACAATGAGGCAGTGGAGTGAGTTGGCTGTGAGATGGCCCAAGGCCCTTCTGTGTTTGTACAGTCTACAGTAGCCACCTTTATGTGTGTAGGAGCCGTTAGCTTTGGGGTGCCTGTATGAAAGCATCCATTCAGTTCTCAGAACATCAAAGGCATAGGCCCACCCCTCCAGCTGGGAAGACTTGACCCTTTCCCCATCCCTATCAGAATGCCCTGGCTGGCTGGCTTCTTTCAGCAATGTTCTGCCTTCCTGTCCTGGCTCTGTAGACTAGAGGAAGGCACCATTGGTCACTGGGTAGTCGTGTGGCTAGCCACAGCGTCCCAAGTGTTAACTGTTTCCCTTACCACTTGAGAATGAGTCTTAGATTTGGGGTCAGTGGACCTAGTTCAAATCCCAGCTTTGCCACTTACTCCCTGTGTGACAATGGGCAAGTTTTTACCTCTAAGGCTCCATTTCCCCATTTGTAAAAATTAAGATGTCGGATGTATGATCTGCCATTCATTTCCTTGTAGCTTCTAAACAACCATGATAATAATGCCTGCCTCTTAGACAGAACCTTACATACATACATTATTTCATTTGGGCCTCTCAATAACCCTGGGAGGCAAGGAGGGTCCTAGAATCATAGATTTAGAGCTGGAAAGGACCTTTGTGATTATCTCGTCCAACCTCATCCTCTTAACATTTAGCAATAAGCATCAAAAAGCATTTATGAAGCACCTACTATGTGCCAGGCAAGGTGCTAAGCTGTGAAGGTTCAAAGAAAGGCAAAAAGCAGGTCCTCCCTTCAAGGAGCTTACAGTCTAACGGGGAATCTAATGAGAAAACTAAGGGGTAGAACAGTTAAACTATGGTCAAATGACTCATGGTCATAAAGATAGTAAGAAGCAAAGCTACGAAAATATTATGGGTATTATTGTCCTCATTTCACAGCTGAGAAAACCATGGCCTTAGAATTGGTGTCAGAGGTAGGATTTGAACCCAAGACCCCCTGTTGTCCAGCTCCAAATCTCTTTCCACCACTATCTCACCTCTCTCAAGCATCAGCTACACCTTTTCTTCAAAGAACTCCTTGATAAGGAGATAATAATGATAATGATGATGACAGTATTTATAATAATGCTTCAGGGTTTGCAAAGTGCATAAATATATTTTCTCATTTGATCCTCACAACAACCCTGGGAAGTGCTTTATTGTCACTATTTTACTGAGACTAAGAGAGATAAACCAACTCATCATATCATACAGCCATTTAGTGTGTGAGGCAGGATTTGAACTTAGGACTTCCTGTGCAACACTCTATATACTTCATCTTCTCTGTGTGGAGTTTACACAAAAGAGCTCTATGGATAGGTTGTTTGTTTAGTTTATTCACTACCTTAAGCATAAGGCCTTGAACATAGCGGCCATTTGTTAAGTGGGTTCATTGTTCTATTGACCAACTTCTCCCTTTCCTGATGATCTCATCACCTCTGCTTCTTTCACACTGGGAAGGCTGTCACACTAGACTGACTAGCTAATGTCTGCTCATCCCACTACTAAAGAGGTGTCTCTCTGTGCCCCAAATATGTTCATTTAATGAAAGTGATCCCACTGCTCAGACCAACAGTCATGCTGAGGGTGCTTTCATAGCCCAGCGGGTTAATGTCACTCAAAGATCAGGTGACCTAGAAAAGTAGCAACCTGCCCTTGACATCCAGCCTTTATGTTCTAGGCTTCATTCTCATAGAACACAGTGCAGCAAATGTCAGAGCTGGAAGGAATCTTAGAGGTAATAGAGCCCAGTCTTAAGGTTCCGAACCGTGGGCTTCCCCTAATGTCTTAGCCCTGGCCAAGAGGCAACAAGAGAAGGGCTAATGGAATTTTTTAAGTGGTTACATGCGAAAGAAACATAAAACCCTGATAAATGATGGATGATATTTTGCATTTGTAAAATACGTAGCCCTTTGAGGTGCACAGGACATATTTTCTCCATTTGACAGATGAGGAAACTGAGTCTCAGAGAGGTTAAATAACATGCTCAAGGCTATATAGCTAGTACCTGGCAGAGCCAATTCTAGTTTAAATTATATTGATATTTTTTATTTTTACTACATTCTCATTTCTGAATACATCCTTCTCCCCTCCCCCATTCAACGAACCATCCCTTGTAATAAAGAAGAAAGAAAGAAAAAGTTCAGCGAAGCCAACTGAGTCAAGCAGAATGCATGTTCCCTTTGTGAAGAAAGGAGGGTGGTACATTGTTTTCATTGTTTCTCTTGGGGGCAAGGTCTTTACACTTCCCACTGTCTTTCCACCCACCACCTTCCTTTGGTGGGATTCAACAAGCAAGAAAAAGATAAAAAGGATGAGATAAGAAATTCTACCATTCTAGGTTTTTGTTTTGTTTTGTTTTGTGTTGGTTTTCTTAGCACTGAGTAAGGGAGCAATCAAATGAAAACATAGATCACCAGACCTGACCAGGAAGACCTCCAGAATCTGTAGTCACCAGAGCAGGATTGCCGTGGGCAATTTTCATGGGAGTGGCCCCATATTCCTACATTAAGACACTGGTGATGCCACTGGACAACCTAACTAGGTGGCCTACCAGGAAAAACAGAGGAAGGAGCAAATAGGAAACTAAGAGAGGAAGAGAAGGGAGGAAAGGAAAAGATTGAAGGACTGATGTCATTGGCAGAACTAGACAGGCTATATAGCCACTGAAAGCAGTGCTGTCTACTTCTGGATTATGTCTTTTGCTTCTACTGATGACCTGCATCGACCCACCCAAGATTCCCTGAACTAGAGCATCTCAACACTCCTCCCTCATCCTCGAAAGCAAAGCGTGTGAAATGGAAATGAGTATGTGGTTAGCCGAACCTGTTCAACATGGCGCTCTCCTAGCCTGCCAGTT